CCAGCATGGGAGAACTATGGCCCCTTCATGACTCGGGGACTTCAACTCCCAGAATTCCTCAGCCAGCATGGGGGAACTATGGCCCCTTCATGACTCGTGGACTTCAACTCCCAGAATTCCTCAGCCAGCACGGGGGAACTATGGCCCCCTCATGACTCGTGGACTTCAATTCCCAGAATTCCTGAGCCAGCATGGCTCAGCTTGGAATCCTCTCCCTTTCCCCTCAGCATGGCTGGCTCAGGAATTCTGGGAGTTGAAGTCCACAAGCATGGCTGGTTCAGGAATTCTGGGAGTTGAAGTCCACGAGTCATAAAAGAGCCAAGGTTGCCTACCCCTGCTCTAAACTAATAAAGTCTACATTAATTAACATTAATTATGCTTTCATATGTTCCTCTAGGTCAGGGGCAGGCAACCTTGGCTCTTTTATGACTCGTGGACTTCAACTCCCAGAATTCCTGAGCCAGCATGGCTCAGCTTAGAAACCTCTCCCTTTCCCCTCAGCATGGTTGGCTCAGGAATTCTGGGAGTTGAAGTCCACGAGTCATAAAAGAGCCAAGGTTGCCTACCCCTGTTCTAGGGTGACCTTTGAGGTGTGTGTGTGTGTGTGTGTGTGGGTGGGTATGTTTATTCTGGTGAACATTAGGCCTTCCTCTGGGAGATCTAATTTAATGAACTTTGCGTTTTGCAGACCCTATCCTTTGATATGTGGATTAGGTCTGGGTAACTGTATTTTTTTTGGGGGGGGGTTGAGGAAGTTTGCCAATTTTAGTGGATTGACTTAGTTTCAGCTGGGTTGGTCAATGATCTTGATTCTCGGACCCTGGTGGATTCTGTTCATGTTTTAAGAGAAGATGGAAACCGTACATAAAGAATAAAATATATTTGGATATAAAACTTCTCACAACTGTGAAGCTGGCCATAATTGCATTTTTTTCCCCCCTGAGCCTGGCTTTCAAAGTTCTCTGCATTGAGTAAAAGTCACCCCGTACACAATTTTACAGAGCGTGCATCTCCCTGGACGTCACAGCTCGCATATGGATCAAAAACTCCTCCACCAGAGAGAAGTAAATGAATTTTGGGTCTACTAGAGCAGGAGGCTATTACAAATAAAATAGAATCCAAGCCCTGCTGATTTTATACTTGACAGCTAGGCGGTAGTCACAATAACCCAGTTTTGACAAAAAAAAAAACACCCTCTTTTTGCAAGCTACAGCTTTTTAACTTTTCATATGCCTCCCAATGCAGGCATTTTTAAGAGCAATTTCCTCCATGGATGCCATTTTTACCAGCAATGTTCCCCGACAGATGGACTTTACATAATGCATGGGACACGTCGCTTTATTAGAAGGCTGGGTGGCAAATTGTGATGCCGTATGGAAATGAAATATTAATTACGTTCCAGTCTCCCGTTTCTTTGTTCAGAAAGGGTAAACAAAGTCATTTAGGATTAAGCTGTGGTCCAAAATGTGATCCCTATCCCTACAATGGGTTTGAAGGGAAGGAGAGCTTTTCATTTTTAAATAGGAAGGAAGATCGGTGGCATAAAAGTTGGATAATAATAATAAGGAAATAAATTCTTTATTTAAACTGTCTTCAAATGTGAGGCCTGCACATGGAAACGTCTGTGTAGATTTTCCATGTAAGACATTGAAAAGTGGCATTAGAATAAATAGAGTAGAATAGAATAGAATAGAATGGAATGGAATGGA